AGGGGGCGGGGCTGGCTGGCATGTGGTGCTGGGGGATTGAACCGAGGTCCCTGATGCTTTGCCAAGCTTGTTCTAAGTAGGTGCCTTAGACCACTGAGCCATCTCTCCAGCCCAGGACTGCCTCCTTTTGATCCTCTCCTGAGTGAGAGCAGACTGGGAGCCCTGAGCTCAGCAATAAACAGCTTTCCAAATTCCAATCTGGTTGATCTGGTTCCTATCCTGAGTGACCCATAACAACTTATATCCTCTTTTAGTCTTGCTATAAACTGGGTGTAAGTTTCTCTAGGACCCTGGAGTATGTGGGTAATGTATTTATTAAGTGTACCATCCTCTGGGAAAGAAATCTATAGCAGCTCTTTACACTGCATGAAAAGAAGAGGTGGAGCCTGAGCCTGAGGTTTTAAGTCAGCATAGTGGCCAGAACCAGATAACATTTAATGAGTGATAGCTTTAAGATTTTCATCTTCACTATTTTGATTATTCTGTGTCTGTTCTGATATGAGTAGTCTTAATTCTGATTCAAAATGTAGGAATTGTGTGTGGGACAGACACGTGTGAGTAAGGTGTGTTACATCACTTGGTGCCATTTGGAAACCTTGAATTATGTTATTCAAACAAGAAAGAGTGTGGGGAGCTTGGGCTCCATTGTCTAGTATGCTCTCCCTTAAGTCTTGTAAGAGCAAATGGTTCAAAGCTTTCTTCATCTCTGTGTACTTTGGCTTTTTCACAAGTGGGGAACGAGAGGGATTATTACTGAACTCTGACATGGGGGAGAAAGAGAATGTGGGAAGCACAGACTCTGAGCATTATTTTCCAAATTAGGTGTGGAGAGTGAGGCTGAGTGTGTGCATAAATTAGAAAAGTTTTCCATCTCTTTATGAATACCTTGCAAAAGTGAATTTTTTGGACTATTTGTACTTTTTTAAACAAGCTTCATTTTTCTCCCTTGGGCTATTTGGAGGCACAAGACCTTGAGGGTGATCTGATTTTTTTTGCTATGGAAACATCAGAGTCCTTTTCCCTGTCAATTACCATGTTTACAAGCCTTAGGTCAGCATCCTTGGAATGCTTTGTAATGGTAAGCTGTAGCTGATATGCATTCTTTCCTGGGCTGTTAAATTGAAAGGACCAGATAGCTCCCTTCAGCAGGTTATATGTTGCTTTAGTTTGTGGGTGAATTTTTCTTTTTTGTACTTTGGCTACATAGAAGCTCTTACCTATTTCATCCCAAATTCTGAGATCCAGAGTACCAACTTTGGGAAAAGACAGATAAAATGTGATAGGTTATGGCACTAGCAAGAACTGCTGAATTATTATGGTGGTCATCTTATTATGGCTGAAGCCCTTGAAACAACAGTTTGTCTTCCCAATGATCAGTTCCTCCTCCTTCCCCACTCCAGCCCTGGGTACAACTTCCTGTGACCTTTCCCACCCACACAAGGGAGCCTCCAATCAGCTCCTTATACATCACTAAACTTGCCCCTTCAAACTCCACCCCTGGCAAAAGTCAATAAGTCTCAGGCTTCCTGTCTTAGGTCAGAGTATCTGCCCATCTCCCTGCTCTTGGTTCTCTCCCAGTGCTTAGAGTTAATAAAGGCTTTCCCTCCCCCATTTCTGCTTATCTGCTGTGCCACTGTTGCTGCCGCCACCATAGCTGCTGTGTCTAAAACCTATCAATTTTGGTGCTGTGACCTGGAATGGTGAGTAGTGTGGCTCCTGGGGCATCCCCTGCCTCAGTTTTGAGCTCCCTCACTGAACTGCCTTCTGCTTTCACTTTTGCCTCTGTCACTTGCCATTGCTAGCTTGCATCCAACACTGGCCAATCTCATTCCTCACTCATGAGCCCAAAATTACAGGGTTCTTGCTCGTCTTTCCTCTCATCAAGTCTTGAAAATCATGAACTCACATTGGGACCCTCCATCTTCCTCAGCCATCTGGTCCCCAGCTTTCCACTTTTTCTATTGACAACTGATAAAGTGGGTGTTGGCCTTCTCTCTCTCATACTCACTCCAGGCTAAAAAGTGATGGCTTTTTAGTGGGAAGTGATGTCGTGCTTTTTCCCTAATCTTTGGCTTATGTTAATTCAGCCACCATGGGAAATGCTCTTCGATACTCCAAAGCACATGCCGCTGGGTTTCCTCATAAAGAACCTCAGCACCTTTGGATTTCAAGGATATCTTGAACTCAAAAAACTAATTTTTAAACTCTATTATCACAACAGCAAATGTCTAGAAATCCCTTAAAAGCCTTTGTTAACTCTAAAAACACATCCCTCCCCTCCCACCTTCCCTTTACTATCCCCCTGTCACATCAAATGGTACTACCCTCTTCATTCCTTGGCTCAAAATTCTCTCTCTCTCTTTTTTTTTTTTTTCAAAATTCTATCTTGTCAGTCTCTTCTGACTGCATTTGTACTTACTCCACCCTCTGTAGCTACATCTCTGCTGCTGCCTCTGGTTCCCCTGTAGATTCTGCCCTTTGCTTTGTAGATTCCTCTGCCTCTCTTTCCCCCAAACTGAAACTTCAGATGCCAGTGTTTTCTCCTTCCACCTTTTCTCCTCCCATGTTTCACATCCACCTCCATTACTTAACCTCCTACCAGTGCTCTATCAGCCTGTGGCTGCCTGTCATGTGGCCAGCTACCACCATTTGTGGGACATGTGGCTATCCACCGCCATTGTGTGGTCATTCCTCCTATGAGGTCAGCACTGATTTGCAGGGCTCTGTCATATGATGAGCCACCACCATTTTTGTGCCATATGGTTCTCTATGGCCACCATAGGGTTGCTCCTCCTGTGATGTCAGGGCACCAGCTTCAGGCACCCCATCACATGAAAAGCCACCACCATCTTACATGCTGTGTGGCTATCCACCTCTCTGTAAGGTCATTCCTGTGATATTAGAGCACTGTCTTGTGCCAGCTACATGATGGGTCACTGCCATTTTCCAGGTCATGTGGCTAGCAGCTACCATGTTACAGTCACTCCTCTTGTGATGTCAGAGCACGATATTTTAGTGTCTCATCATATGATGGGCCAGCTCATCTTGTGGCCTCTCCTTGGTATATAGTAACTATAAATAAAAGGTTTTTTGTGTTTTTCAAATTCTTACAAGAGATCTCTATAAATTGACTTACAAAAGTTCTGACTAGTCTCTCATAATTACAAACTTAAATAGGTTATCATAGTTTAACCTGGCCAGAAATATATTTGAGTGCACTCTCATTTTATAAAGATGTCCATGTGTCCTGTATGTACTTGTTTGTTTTTATGTCATTCTGTAAACAGCTGTTCCTTTTTATTTGAGCTCTAAAATATAAACTTGAAAGCATGCTTTCTCCTGAGTTACCAGCTGGTCGAGGTAATATCAAAATTAATTTATAATTAAGTAAAAACCATTAAAATGGGGAAGATTGTTGGAGAACTCTTGATTGATGAATAGAGGGTGGCTAATCTTTGTTCAATAGAGAGCTCCTAGTAATTTGGTCATTTATTAAAAGACAAAGTTTTTATAAAATTAAAATAAGATTTTCTCATAAAAGATGCTTAATATATTAAACATATGTATGCCTTCTAAAATACTGTATGCTACAATATAAATTTTCTTTCAGTTTATGCCTTTCTCTTATGCTCCAGGTATTTATAATAGGTTCCCATCAAGCCAACATGAGGTCATTAGGCAAATGATAATTTTCTTCTTTTTTTTTAAACATTTATTTATTTATTTATTTATTTATTTATTTGTGTGTGTGTGTGTGTGTGTGTGTGTGTGTGGCCAGCTCAGCCCACCAGGGGGCGGGGCTGGCTGGCATGTGGTGCTGGGGGATTGAACTATGGTCCCTGTGCATTGCCAAGCTTGTTTCAGGTAGGTGCTTTAGACCACTGAGCCATCTCTCCAGCCCCTAAATGATAATTTTCTAACTAAAAGTGATGTGATATATATCCTATGTATGTCCTGTTACATTTAGAGATGCACCTTCCTGTCAAGTCAGCATGAGGTCATCAGCCAAATAATAATTTTATAACTAAAACTTATGTAATATATATCCTATGTACATTTAAAGATGCAAAAACTAAATGGGGATTTCGTATGACTGTTATGCTGCACTATTGACTATGACTATCAAATGGTCTCTACAAAA